TTTGTTGAATACCCAAGAGCAAATCAGACACAGTTTCAGGAGTTTAGGTAAAGATGGGGTTTCAGAATGTACATATCCTATATAAACGAAAGAAAGAGAGAGGGCAAAGGGACGAAAATTTGCTATGAGTTGTTTTAGCTCTGTGGTTTTTTTTCTCTACGATTTGGGACAAAATTTTGATGTTAGAGAGAGAGATAGTTCTTACCAGAGGATGATGGGAAGGCATATGGCAATGGAGAAAAGAGAAAGGCGGGTGACAAGGAAGGTTTTTGAAATTTACTAAAATTTGGGGGGGGGGGGGGATTCAACAATTACGTCTAATGCCTTGTCCTAATTTGACAAAAAAGAACAAATTGATGTAATTGTAATTATGTTAAGGGTAACTCACCGTCTAAAATTTGGGAGTAGAGTTTTCTAAGATCATCATTACGATGGTGAATTCTAAAATAACCTATATATTATATAGGGTACTCCTACACATGGAGTATAGTAGAGAATAACATCATCCACGTGAGGTGTAATATCATCCACATAGATCATTAGTTATTTTTTAACTACTAATAGAATGCTACTAGATTCTTATAGAAATATCTCTTCTACCCATCCCAATGACGAAGAATGCCATTGCTCAAAAAATTTCGTATTACAAAACAAGAGTAATGAGTATCTAATGAATAATTAGTACATTAAGGAAATACTCCATGTGTAAACGTGCCCTAACAAAACCCATACGTGTGTCAAAGCAAATTTTCACAAGACAGCAAGGTATTCTCTCTACCTTTGAATTTACTATCGAACATATTAATGGCAACACCAATTATTTGCCTGACTTTTTGACACGAGAATTTTTGCAGGGAAGGCAGAAGGAGCCAACAAAGGAAAATGATGGAAATGATCCCTAGTCTAGGGTCATCTCTGGCATCACCATCTACATCAAATGCTCTAATAAGAAGGCAAATACAAGATATTGATATATCTCCCCTTCAAACACCAATAAGTACTCAAACTCCTAGTATTAAAACTACATATTTGGAAACAGCATATATTCCTTTACTGATTATAGAAAATGATCATCAGTCAAAAAATCCAACTGAAATAGCTGCCTTATATCTCAGGCAATACATGCATCCTAATATGGGCGACAGATGCAGAGAATGGTATGAAAATATCCTTATGGAAACAGGTTCGGTATTTATAGTTCACCATTACCGAAATAATGATACAGAAATAGCATACTCCAAATTCCAAATAAAAAAAGTTCCTTTGTTGATTATAAAAAATGATCATCAGTCAAAAAATCCGACTGAAATAGCTGCCTTATATCTAAGGCAACACATGCATCCTAATATGGGTGACAAATGCAGCGAATGGTATGAAAATATCCTTATGGAAACAGGTTCGGTATTTATAGTTCAACATTGCCGAAATAATGATACAGAAATAGCATACTCCAAATTCCAAATCAAAAAAGTTATTTCTTACAGAGAATGGGGACTAGATCCTTTAAAACCAAGGATCATCAATACGAAACGATTGAAAATCAAATCCTATCACTACTTTGAATATATAAGGCTTGAGATGATGTCTTTTCATACCATAATACAAAAAATTCACATCGTTGGTATATTCAGTTTAAAATAATTGAGCCAAATGAGTTCCCCAATTGGTTCTCTATATGGGGATCAACAAACCAAATTCTACCAACAGAACTATAAATTTCACAGAGAAAATTCTCTGATTATAATAGGCAAAGTCTTAAAAGAGACTATCTATATATTTTATGACCTTATATCAGGTCCCGTGGATTTTAAAATGGGATTATCAAGTCTAAGAAGATGATATGGACAGGTGGGATTATATTCCCGAGTTGAGAAGACAAATCCATATCAAATGGTGGGCCAGTTATAAAAATAAATCCCTAAATCCAGACAAAATAAAAATGAAACTTATACCTTCAGTTTCACCTCCAAAGCAAAAAATGGAAATATCAGAATATATTGCAATATTACAGCAACAAAACCCCAAACTATCCAAAGAAGAGCTTAAAAGGAAGCTCTGGAGTGCAAAAGAAGATAATGTGGAAAAAATGTCCACCTCTACTCAAAGTGTATAGTAGTTGAACTGTACTTCTAATAGAAAACTGAACTATTAATTAAGATTCTGAGAAATCTGCAGTATCAGTTCAAAGTCACTGTGACCCAAAGATCACTAAGGCTAGGAAGAGCCAGAAAAGTGTAGGGACTGTTTCCAGTTGACTCGAATTGAAATGGCAAATTTCATCAGAACATTATCTAATAGGTCAGCTACTACTAGTAACACACTACGTATTAATAATAGAGAAGAAATAATAATCCATAATATAGAGAAGCATATCCAAAATTAGAATATACCAAAAGTACCTACAACAAATGTTTATAGTAAGGGAACTTTTGATTTCAAAAGTAGTTTTTCCATCAAAACCATTGAAAAAAGTATTTTTGTTATGGAAACTCAGGATAAATTTCAATTACTTTCAAAAAGGATGATCGAAAATCATAAAAAGAAAACTACAAATATTTGCATATTGGATTGGTACAAATAGTTGTCAAGCCATTAACAAGAACGGGATTAAATAATTATGTTCTACTCTGTTTGAGAGACAGCAGACACAAAAGATTCATTGATTCCTTGTTAGGAATAAGTTTAATCTAGTCTATGTAATGGCCCCATCTATTTTAACGGTTTTCCAAACTTCTCGGTGGCCTTAACAAATCCAAATTTACTAAAAGTCCTAACCCAACACCTTAAAACTCAAGGTTTTGATATAGACCCAGGTTCTCAAAACTTGGCATTTGTTTACAGGATCTGTTACAACGTAATGAATACTTTGTGCTCGAATGCCAGGCAAATGGACTTCAAAGGACAAACTATATTTTTCCAAACAAACATGAAAAAATCAAATTTAGTTATACCTAAGTCAGTGGCATGGTCTCAGGTTAAATTACCAAAACGTTGGTCTTTACAAACTGAATCCCAGATTAAAAATCCTGAAAACAAAGACCCTAAACAAATCATAGAATACTCTGATGGAAAAATAGAGATCAATTTTCCATCCTCTAGAAGAACTACATTAATGATTGGTGAATCAAGTATTAGGGATCCTCCTAGAAGCTCGACCTCTTCTGTCCCAAAATCCGAATATGAAAGATTACCCACTCATAGGAGAACTATTATTGAAAGACTTAATAGGACTCCAAATCAGGTTCAACAACCAGTCTATAGAGTAGACACTCCAGGTTCTTCTGAATTAGAAGAACCAACACCCTCAGATAAAGAATGGATCAGAAAAGACTTCTACTCTGAAAAAAATAGAAAAATAAGAGAATGGTTCTTCAAAGAGTTTAAAGAACCTCTTCGAGATGCCTTCCATTTAAAATTCAATGGGTTCATGATGAAACACAAGGAAACTATGAAATTTTTTAAATGGTTAAGATACATATCAAAAGATTATGGAATAAAGATTCCAAAATTTGAGGTAAATATGGTTGAAAAATCTTTCCAAACCTTTCAAACCACTAAAGGAGAGACAATTGAGTCTATTCATCCCCCTGAGACTAGCTTATCTTTTGCGGCAATCTGGATCTGCCAGTAGCCTGATTTGAGATCAAACTTTGAAAATACGCAAGCGTCTGCCAATCTATCTAAGAGATCTCTTTTATTTGGGATCGGATATCTGAACCATCTTAAAACTTTGTTGAGTGGTTTATAATTTATAACCAGTCTCAGAGCCCCTCTTTTTATCTCGAAGGCCTTTTCCACATAAAAGGTTGAGCAACTCCAGGGTGATGAGCTTTTTTTGATAAGTTTTTGTCCAATAACTCTTTTATTTCCTTTTTAAAGATTTACAGTAGCCTATTGTTCATTTGAATAGGTCTTACTTTAGTAGGAATTTTTCTTTCTTGAAAATCTGGTGCATAGAGAAGTTCAACTATATGTGGCTTTCTATCCCAACAGCATTGGGGATATTAGCACATATATTTCTTTCCTGCAAAAATTCTCGTGTCAAAAAGTCAGGCAAATAATTAGTGTTGCCATTAATATGCTCGATAGTAAATTCAAAGGCAGAGAGAATACCTTGCCATCCTGCGAAAATTTGCTTTGAAACGTTTTTGAAGGATGTCCTTGGCTGCTTTACAGTATAAGGAATGATTAGTTAAGCACGTCACTTTGAAATTTTGTGACAGCATGGACAATAGCAAGTATCTCTTTTTTCACCGTTGAATAATTTTGTTGGGCTAGGTTCCAGATTTTAGAGGTAAACCGGACTAATTGTTCTCGATTATTCATTTTTTGTTTTAAAACAGCACCAAGTCCCTGCTCTGAGGCGTCTGTTTCTACTATTTTAAACGTTGTAGGACTTGATAGGGCTAAACATGGTAATTCCTTAGCTTTTATTTTAATTTTTCTGACTGCCTTAGTATGTTCTTCGGTTCATTCTGGAGGATGCTTTTTCAACCTGTGGAATAAGGGTTTTGCATCTAAGACTAAATCTTTATAGAAGTCAGAAATATAATTTAAACAACCAAGGAATCTTTGTAATTCAGTTTTTCCTGTAATTACATCTGAAAATTTAAATGCGAATTCTATTGCTCTATCAATGGGAATGATTCTTCCCTGAAAAATATTGTGTCCTAAAAACCTTCTTTTTGTTTGGTTTTAAAAATAAGACTCGCACTGAAATGGCAAATATACATGTGGTATCAGAGCAAAATAATTATACAAATATTTCTAACATATATATGGCGCAAATATATATATATATATATATACATGTGTGTGTATGTAGGTACGTATGTATATGTATATGTGTGTGTGTATGATGTGGCAATAATAGAAGAACAACATTGTCATGTAACACAATGTCATATAATATTGAATACTGCAAGGAAAGATATGAAAAACAACAAACAAAAACAATTAATATTCAATTCAAAAATAAAGGATAGGACTTTCATACTTACTCTTGTAATCATTCCATGATCCATGTGCAAACAGGCGAAGCAAGTCAAGGACTGCAGAATATTCAGATCCTTGAAGCTAGATAAAAAAACAAGAAGAAATGCAATAAGAGTTATATTAGGCCCAAAAAAGTACGTAATGTCACCCTTTGAGAGAGAGAGAAAAAGCACAACTATCAGAAATTCAAAAGCTAAGATGAAATGGTCCTGACTCCTAATTGACAAACAAGGATGCCAAACAAGAGTGGCACTCTAGAAACTTCCACAAAATTCCTATAAAACCCATTATCAAATAATTCCTAGATAACCTCATTTATGTTTAATCAAAAAGAACATAGAGAGGTTATTCCGTAATAAACAAGCTCCTTGTCATTTCATTAATAAAAATGAAGCAATGGGATATGATCGCGCCAAAGATGGGAGGTTCTAGCAATGTTACCCAACAAACAAAATATTTAACCATTGTATACACTCAAAGCACCACAATTATGCCAACTAGACTGATAGGGAAAAACAACACGGTAGACCGATAATTCCCTACACCAATTAAAAAAAACTTTTGATTAACAAAAGTAACAATTAGATGACGTGAGAAGTCCCTCTTGGAATCACATCGACCCATCCTCCCTTATAAAATTGAAGCAATTAAACACTTAAAGATCCATAAAAAAACAATATGAACAATTTAGCTCCAGAACCATGCACAGCCTATTGAAGATGAGGATTCAATTCGGCATGCTCACCTTTTTGTCCAATGGTACCACCAAAAGCTAAAAGGAAACTCTACTTGAAGAACAACCCGCCACATCCAACTATAGCTTCTGAATTGTATATGCACTCCCATTTCCCACTTGAATGTATCCACCAAAAATTCCACTACCACTAAATTTTTTTTTTTCGACAACTCTATAACTACTAGCAACCTTCTTTCATTACCAAAAAAGCATAATATAATTAATAACAATCTTCTCTCCTTACTCAAAAGGCACATGCAAATAAGATTGTTTGTTCTATATTTGTTAAAAAAATAATTTTTACAAGAAGTGATGCTGGAATTTGTCATGACGAGTTTAAGTGGATGCATAAATTAAAGATATCGATACTTCAGAGTATTTTTTCATCTTTTCTCTCTGTCTGATGTTTCTAAGGCATTGAGATATCTAAATGACATCTTCAGCTTCTCTTTCTCGAGCTAAACATGCACTAGACTTGTGAAACAAGTTTGCTTCTGATGATAGCAAAATGCGAACCAATGGAGGCCCCACTCTGATCATGCTCTAGGTTCAAGAGGGAGTAGAGGGAGTCCCTTTCAATCCATCTCTCTTACTTCCCACTTCTCTCCCCTCTTCTCTTTTCTCTTCTCTCCCTCTTCTCTTTCTCTTCTCTTTTATAGTCCTTTGAAGGTTCTTGACATAACCAACCTCAATATCTAAGTACATAAGAAAAACCAACAATTAAGCTTCAACATCAATACATCGAACCTTTAGACCAATTGATGCCCTAGACATACCACCAGCTTATGTGTGCAAGCCACAAATAAAGATGCATTGTCCCCACACAAAGTAGAAAACCACCAGAACAGAGAAAATTGCATGCTCCTTCCACTATGGGATCCCACTACCCTTCCAACAATCAGAGTCCAATACACGTTGTTCCTGGCCTGTTCAATAATCCCCTCCTTAAACCCTAAAATGCCAATTTACCATGCCTTTCAACAAATGTCAAACCCTGAAACTCCCATCATAAAAACCAAAACAGTTTTTCCTTATTCACCAAAAGGTAGATATTGAATATACTTCAAAATATATATATATATATATATATATGGAGAGAGGGGAAGGGAAGAAGCACCCCTTATAATAAAACAATTACAAATATCAATTGTCGTGCTATATGAGATTAAAGTTCAATGGTCTAGCAATCACCAAGACTATATCCATTTGCATGGAGATCAAAGACAAGGAGAAAACCCCAATAACTCAAATACCAAGGTTACCTTTAATAGAAAATTTAAGGGGAAAAAAGATACAACATAGAGAAGCATGACAGAACCAATCTGCAATAACAAGACCAATCTACAGAGATACAAGAACCTCAATGCCCTAAACACGGCACATTAGATATAAAGTCTATAACTAAAAAATATGATAAAAAATACACAATAAAATATTAAACAAAAACTAAAAAGTAGATAAGAAAATCGAATTAGAGTGGAAATATAATGGAGAAAAATAAAGCATAGACACAAAGTAAGACTTCAATGTTTTTTACTGTATAAAAAATACATTAACCATTACAACATCTCTCTCTCAAACCAATAAAAAAAATGAAGAGATTCATACCTCAGAAATGCTGGGAACAGAAAGGATTTCAGAGAAGGCGAAGAGTGATGGATGAGAAGTGGCCTCCACGATGACACTAACCAGAGATCCTCCTTTAAGACTCTCCGCCTTCTTCACAAAATACTCTATGAACTCCGCCTGTTTCTGCTCGATATCCATGGATTCTGATGCTTCAAAGAGTCTCAAAACCAGTAAAGCCTCGAATCCATTAACGAGACAGATGGAAGAGAGAAAGGAACGAGGAAAACTAGTGAATATATAGCTTTTGAGGAGAGAGAGATAGTATATAGCTTTTGGAGAGAGAGAGAGAGAGAGAGAGAGTTTTTGGGTATTGTAAAGCGGCTAAATGTATAATAACGATCTGCGTTTTTATTTTGGACAGGATTTCTATGAGTCAGCCGAATCATCCTATACATATGCGGGCCCCTACTTTAAAACCTATTTTAGGAGGATGTTGTTTTTATTGGTGTTTGCAAAATCGAACCGGAACGGTAAACCATTCATGGGCCTAGAAATGATTTAACCGGCTTAACTGGTAAATCGGCCAATTCAACCACTCTAACTGAGCAAGTTCCAAACGATAAAAAAAATATTGAAAATAATAAAAAAAATCTACTAAAATATGAAAAACATATAAAAAATGTGATTAAACAAATGACATTGATATGACGTTGAAAATTAATGAAAAAAATGGATTTTAACTAATTGATTTGTGTTTATAGGTATTTTTAAAAAAATTTGAAAAATATGGGAAAATATATAAGTGATACATAATAACCATTTTTTTTTTAATCTTTATCATTATGTAAATAATATTCAAATAGTGTTAAAAAAAATCGACTTGACCAAAATGAATTCTTAAAATAAAACACACTAACGGCGGGGATTCAAATCATGATTCATATAAAACTTAATCATCGAAGCTAACCAATAAATCATTTTTAATGTATTTGATATAAATTTAAAATAATATTTTATTTAATGTTTAAATTTTGGTTGATCATCAAAACCGCGCAAAACTGAAACTGGTTAGCTGTTAGATCGGCTGGTTTTGCAAACACTAATTTGTACAAATGCTTATGCCCTAAATTACCTGTTATTTTAGTATTGAAAAAAATTAATGGTCTAAACATTTTTTTGTATTTAATTATACTTTAAAACTTCAAAATTAATGTAGATCGAGTAGGTTATGAGCACTTGGGAATCTTGAAAATTGACGGTCCATAAAATCCATTACATGTCATACTATTTCCAATACTTGGAATCCATTTTTTCCTCACATCTATATATCTTGAGGTCGAGATTATCGATTTGACAATTTTTTGGTATCAAAACAACCTCGTCTAGTGAATTTTTGAGGTGCGCATTAATTTGATGGTTTAGGGTCTCACACTTATATAAACTTTTTTCATCTCATAAAATAATTTAAATCCAAAATTTTAAGAATTTATTATCTAGGTTAAGATGATCATGAATATAAAAATTTAATAAAATTTTTATTTTTGGAGTATAATTTTTTAAAACAATAAATTTACACCATCAAAATACATTTTAGCCTAATGGGTTTTTTACAGCATCCATTTATAAGATGGACATTAGTGAGTCAGCAGGATCTTGTATGGAGTAAGAAGATCGAACCCAGAGAACTCATGGTGGGCTTGACTTTATTTGCCAAATGGGTTAGCCTACCATCTTGCAATCCAAGTTGAATCATAGTGCCCACTAATGACCATATGTTGCATCATTATAACTTCTTGAATGCCAATCCCTTTAACGTATCTTTTATCTCTCTCTCCTAAATAAGTCCCTCTCACAATTTCTCTCTATCATCTCTCGTCTACAATTCACATATTGAGTCACTTCTAAAGTTTCTAACCCAAAATATATTTTTTTAATGATTTTCGGGTTTGAAATCTAGTGGATATTTTGATAATTCACCTAGTAAAATATCTTTGTTTATTGAGGATTTCATTTCATTAACATGCTTGTCTTTTTGTATCTTTTAACATCTCAATTGAAGAGGTACTTCGGTGAAAGCCTATAAGTGAAGTGGTTTTGATGAAATTATAGTTGATTGGATCTTTTAGTTTTTTTTTTTTTGTTAAGGCGGGTTGACTGTTTTATTGACATTTTTATATTTATTAAATAATATTAATTTTTTTAAAATACAAAATGTTCTTTGAGTTTGGGCCTAGAGAAGAGCAAGAATATTTAATTCATTGAGTTCGAGTGAATTTAAGTGGATGAATACAAGTAATTATTATTATTTTTTAACATCAATAAAATTTTATTAAGATACCCATGTGAGATGTACTATTTTACATTTTACACAGTAACTATTCAAAAATCATGATCATGCGTCTTTTATAGATATTTTGAAATTATCTAAAATAATATCAGAAAATATAAAATAGTGCATATAGCTATTTGACAAAATTAACTTAACAAATTTAGAAGGATGGTACTTTAAAGATAATGATTTAAAAAACGACTATTCTCTTAAAAAAATGCTTATATAAGGTGTGAAATCTTACACTATAAAAGTTGGATATATCTTAAAAAAACTGTTGAAAAGGTCGTCATGTTGCTGAAAACACAAAAAATATTTAAATATTCAAAGTAACTCATATTGTAACACATTATTTAGTCATTATATTATCAAAATTTTCAAATATTTATAGATCTACTTGATCAGCATATTTTTCTTAGCCCTAAGTTTCATAATCACGAAATAGATTTTTAAGAAGTTTGCTTTATAGGGGATATGCAACTTTTTAAAATATTTAAATTATAAAATTAACTACCATATGGATTTTCTATATATGTGATTTGACTATGGTAATGATATCTTACCTTAAACTAAGGAAAAATATCTCGATAGGGTTGTAGACTTATCAAAATATGTAAATTCTCACCTCAAAAAATTTGAAAATTATAGTTTGGGATAAAAAAACCTTCACATCAATCATATCGACCTTAACCATTGTAGTTGAAAAAATAAAAGAAAATCAAGCCTAAAAAGTTAATAGGAATAATTTTACATAGAGCTGGGTCTCTAAACCATTAAATTAGAGCGCAAGTTTCACTATAAGAAGTTGTTTTGATGCCCAAATATCTTCAAATTGATCATCTCAACATCAAGATGCATGGACATGAGATAAAAATGGATTTCAAGTATTGAAAACAATGCATATTGTAATACATTTTTTGACCAGTCACATTTCAAGATTTAAAAGTTTTTATAGATATGCTCGATCTACGCTGATTTTTTTGCCTGAAATTTTATAATTAGATATGAAAATATATTTTAAGGCTATCACATAGATTTCAAGCATTGAAACCACATTCATAGATACTATTTGAAGGTGCACTTTACTTTGATCGTTTAAAGCCTCGGCTCTATACAAAACCGCACCCAAAATAATATGGACACAATTTCTATGCAGTCAAGCCCGTATGTGTAGAAATGCGGATCTCTTTATAAATCTATTTTTGAAATGGATTTTAAGACCTAACTTTTAAGGACGTGTAATATCTAACATCAAGATCATGAATATAAACAAATAAATAAATTTAAAAAATTAGAAATAATAATTATAGTAAAAAAACATTTGGACCGTTAGTTTCCTTTGTTTTTCGATGGAACACCCACTTGCATCCATCTTTAAGATGGATGCTTTACACTTTTGAACTGCGTATGTAGAAAAACTGTCCAACCCCTATGAAACATTCTATATAAAAATATTCATGGACGGCATTTCCACATAAGCAGTCGAGTGTAAAGCATCCATCTCAAGTAGGTGGCCATATAAAAACAATGGAAACTAATTGTCCAAATGTTTTCTTAATAAAATTATTATTTTATTTTATTTATTTATCCATATTCATGATCTCCGTGTTAGAGATGACATATCTTTAGAAATTAAGTCAAAAAATCCATCTAAAAAATAAATTTTTAAAATGAGCCACATTTCTACATGTGCAAGCTTAGCCCACATGCTAACCGCGTCCATAATATCTTATCTACACCATCTATTCCTCCTTTCTCTCTTCCCTTTCATGTTCCCAGGCTTTTCACTCTAGACCTAGATTCTATGTCCATATATGTAAAAATGTGGGCCTATTAATAAATATATATTTAAGATGGATTTTTGGATTTAATTTTTAAATACACGTTATATCTTCTATGGAGATATGAAAAAATAAATAAATTTAAAAAACTAAAAATAATAATTCTAATACTAAAACATTGGAACCGTTAGTTTCTACTCTTTTTTTAGATGGAACCATCCCTCTTTAATATGGATGCTTTCCACTTTTTTTTGGACCGCATATGTAGTCATGCGGTCCAGCCCACATGAAACAATTTGCCTTTCTCTCTATTTCTACTTTTCCGGGTTGCTCTCAGTACTTTTTCCGTTTAGCCGACGGTTTGCGTGGCGGGCCATTTCTTTCCACTTGCTCTTTCTACTTCTCTCTTTCTACTTCTCTCTTTCTCTCTCCATTTTCCCCTCTCTCTCTCATCAAATCCACAACTCTCTGCGTCCCTTTCCATGGTTCTCTCTCACTAGGGAATGGTTTCTGGTGCTCCCGCGTTCTCATCGTTGTTCAGCACCACTTTATGGACTTGCCCAATAAGAGAGAGAAACAGTTGGGCTTTTCCCCTATTAAGTGATAGATCTCAGTTTCTCTCTCATCTACTCTCTTCTGGACTTTTCTCTCTCGTCCCTGTTCAGGTTTGAATCGGAATCCACTGATCTTTAATATCAACAGCTTAAAACTTGAATTTTAGAAATGGAGTTTATATTTGCTGGAATGGGATTCAATTAATGTAATTATCTAAAACTGGGGTTTAGGGTTTTAACAATGGGTTCAAAATCTTAGAGAGATGTTATCAAAGTTCTCTCTCTTGAATTTTTTTTGTTTTATTTTCAGTTACAATGAATTTCAATTATCACTGATTGTTCGCGTTTTGATCACAGAGTTAGATATAGAGGGGGATTCTGATATATTCGTCCGAATTCCCCATTAATGGCAGCTACTACTAGTAACACCGTCGCCGTACAAGCTACAAATGATGACGCCTCTGCCAGTAAACTGTACGCAATGTTCTCCATCATCTATGGAAATGTTCTCTTTCTAAATTTTTTTATTTTCCTTAATACACATATACATATGTACATGCCTTATTGCTATTCTATCATTGCAGTTACAGTTGTTATAACTTTTACTGGCAATATCAATCAAACTTTATGTTTCTTTATTTATAATGGTTATCTAGATTCCTCTGTTAAAGTTTAGCTTTGCATAGTTGTAACATGCAGGTGACTTTTAATTTATTGGATTACTCTTAGGTTTAGATGCAAATTATGCAGTGATTAACTAATAAGAGAAAATTTCCAGGTAGAAAGTTGATATATCCTAAGTAATGTTAAGTCCTGATTCAATACCTTCTGATCAACGCCTCATTTGAGATGAGCGGGGTTTTGGTTAATTAGCTATATATTTTTTTATTCAGTTAAAATTTTTTACTTTAAGGTGATCATATTGGTTTTTAGTCAAATAGAAGAGTTTTGTATTTTGAATTTATATACTGAAATCCATAGAACTATCTATGATTGAATTAGAGCACAAATTATTACTTCTACTTCTAGATTACAGTCTATAGCTTAGATTGAGAAGTATAAGCATGATGCACTTCACTGTGTTCTTCATATGCTCTTTTTGGAGTACCATAGTATTGTATCATCATCATCATCATCGTCATCGTCATCGTGTGAGCCTTATCTGAACTATTTGGGGTCGGCGATGCGAATGTTGTTCCCCCATTTTACTTTATCAAGGGCCATATCCTCAATAAGACTATAAGTCTTTATACTTTTTCTCACTACTTACATCCATGTCCCTTTGAGCCTTCTCCTTGCCCTTTGAAAGCTTTCACTTGAACCAAATTGTATCTCCCAACCTATGTTGTGTTAGGCTTACACTGCACATGGCCAGCCCACCCAAGTCTACTTTCCCTCATTTTATCGCCTATTGAAGTCACACCTCAATTCCCTCGAATTTACGCATTCCAAATTTTATCCTTTCTTGTCTTGCCACTCATACATCTCAACATCTTCATCTCAACTGCACTTACCCTTTGTGTATGTTGTTTTTTGACTGCCCAACATTTTGTCCCATAAAGCATGACCGGTCTTACAGCTGTCCTATAGATCTTCCCCTTCAGTTTCATTGGTATGCGTATGCGGCGATCACATAAAACTTCGGATGCACATCTCCACTTCCACCATAGCATTGTATATCAAGATTAAATTTGGAGTACTACATTAGCAATGAAGATAGAACAAATGATATTGCAGCCTATTTTTAAAGTTAATTGCCATTACAGAAGGAAAGGGTCTTAGCAGAAATGAGTGAGTGGGGTCTATTAGAAGATAACTCTAGTCTTTCCAATCTTGAGTGGAATAAGAGATAGACATTAAAAGAAGAATATAACAAGATTCTAAGTTGGGAAAGATTAGTTGGCTACAAAGAGCAAGGATCAAATTGTTGAAGGACAGTCATTGGAAGAGAAGCGATACTATAGAGATGATCCAATGTGGTGGCTGGTGTTTCTTGTACCCAACATCAGTTTGGGCGGTATCAGTTGGATTCTCTAAGCAGTTATATCTTAAGGAGGAATAGATTAGACTGAAACTTGGTGGCCTTCACTTTTACAGCATTCCAAGAAACATATGTTACAAGTGGAAATAGGCCTTTTTTAGGAAGAAGAAATCTAAGCAGCATTGCTTAGTCTGGCGAAAGTTAGAGCCCCAGGACTCGGTGGCTTGCCCTTGGCATTTTTCCAAGTATTTTGGGATATGATCAATAACAATCTCGTAGAGGTGATGGGACAACTCTACCGATGAGCCAAAGCAGCAAGTTTATGAACCCCACATTCATCACATTAGTTCCCAAAGGTGGAGGACCTGAAGGAGGCAAAGAATAATAGGTCCATAAACTTGGAGGGGATTTTGTATGGTATAATTGGAAACGAACTCTCCTCCAGGCTTCAACAAGTTCTTGAATTTGTAATTACTCCAACTCAAGGGGCCTTTGAAAGGGGTTGGCAAATGCTAGATGGCACCCTTGCAGTCCATGAATGTCTCAATTCAAGGACTAAGCAAGGAGCTACTAGCTATTGTGCAAAATTGACCTAGAAATGTTGTATGATCATTACATAGGGAGTTTATTGATTATATGATTACTATTGTGGCAGAATCTTTCAGCAGATTAGTCAATTGATTAAGCCATTACATTGGAGTTGATTCATGGTTTTTGGCGGCCATGGGAGGGCATATTGTTTCTCAAGATCATAATGTTGATGGGGCTTTGTTTTTTTTTTCATGCCTTGGATTCAAATGGAGAGTCCTCAAATCTCTTTAAGGTATTTCGAGGCAGTTAGGGACTTTGCATAAATCTGCATGCAGGAAGAAGCATGCTGTAGAGATTGACAAGTATCGTTGGCTGTATTGTTGGCTGTCCAACAACATCCCTTCCTTGTTCGTATTCATGGTTATTGCTATGTGCGGGGAAACCAAAGGAAATCCTATGGGATCCAGTAGTGGTAAGAATAGAAAGGAAGCTTGCCTCTTGGAAGGGAACTTTCTCTCCTTGTGAGGTAGAATTGTTCTGGTTAAACACACCCTCACAAATGTTCTGGGCTATTTTAGTTTTTATAACAAATACTGGTCTTTGTAGCTAACAAATTGGAGAACTTACAAATGAACTTCTCAATCCACAAATCTCATTGAAAGAATGCCCATGAGAGGGTAGGGATAGGGTGGCTTGTGATTCACAAGTTCAGAAGGGGGCTGAAGGAGGATGAAAAGGGGCAATAATATCTGTGCTTAGTTTTCTAGATCACATATATATGCCCTGGGTGAAGGGGAGAAGGTCTAGAGAATTTGTCTTGGGAGAATGGAGGAAAGTCTATGGTGAGGTTGGGAACAATGGGAAGTGTCTTCTCCCCTGCTTGGTTTGTTTGGAAGGTTTCGGTCCCGCCTAGAGTTTTCTTGCATACTTGGATAAATTTATCACTGTTGACCATTTGTAGCTCCGTGATTGGGTGATGCCTGAGTTGGTTGCTGCTATTTACTTTTTGTAAGTTGACTTCCTTGGGGATTTTATGGGGTGTTTGGAAAGAGAGGAATAACCTCATATTGAAGGAGAAAAAGACTCCTACGAAGCACTTCATGAGGGCATTCATAGATAGATAATCCCTTGGGCATTCATTAGTTTCGCCTGAGTTCAAGGGTTTCCAAATGGCAGACCTGTCATGTAGTTGGAGGTAAGTGGCATTATCGAGCTCCATAATTCAAAATGTGCAGGTGCTCTAGCAACACCCAGCCATTGCCTCTTATAAGTGAAACTTTGATGGCTGCTCTTTGGCAACCTGAGACAGATGGGCATTTGTGGGGTGGTAAGAGACGACACAGGAATGATCTTAAGTCTTTTCAGGTCCCACAGGAGTGTGTAACTCTACTCTTGACGACACAAAGTCACTTCTTGAGGGCATTGGATACATGATGAGCCACTCATGAATGCCTCTGATAGTAGAGGGAGATTGCTGGAATGCACTCAGAAGTGCAAGTTAGTTAGCTGTCCCCCAAAGGAGAGTTACCTACCTTATAACGAAGTTAACCCCCCATGTGATGACAAACCAGTTCACTTTTATATTGTCCTCCGTTTTGCCAATGAAATGGCTGATGCACTAGCTAAAGAGGGAGTTGGATGTCCATCACCATTTGTTTGTTTTCTGGTTTCTTAGGCAGATTTCATCTTGGCATCTCTAATAAGAAATGGAAAATAATGCTATTCACTTATCAGCACAACAACTGTTACCATTCCTAAAATTAGCTATGAGTCTTTGTAATGCGTTATACGTTAATTTGTAAAGCAAAATATAGGTTGTACATAGTGTTTCCCTGACAACTCCACATGAGGGCTGGTGTCATGTTTCGACACGTCAAGACACTGCTGTGAAGAAAAGTAACAAAACTGCTCTTTGTAGAGCTTGAACTTGGGCCACTTTACTTAGAAACCCTGCGCTCTTATGACTGCACCGAGCGTTCATTTAGGAAATATATATACACAATCTACTCTTGATGACACAAAGTCACTTCTTGAGGGCATTGGATACATGATGAGCCACTCATGAATGCCTCTGATAGTAGAGATTGCTGGAATGCACTCAGAAGTGCAAGTTAGTTAGCTGTCCCCCAAAGGAGAGTTACCTACCTTATAATGAAGTTAACGCCCCATGTGATGACAAACCAGTTCACTTTTATAATGTCCTTTGTACCGCCAATGAAATAGCTGATGCACAAGCTAAAGAGGGAGTTGGATGTCCATCGCCGTTTGTTTGTTTTCTGGTTTCTTAGGCAGATTTCATTTTGGCATCTCTAATAAGAAATGGAAAATAATGCTAGTCACTTACCAGCACAACAAATGTTACCATTCCTAAAATTAGCTGTGTCTTTGGAATGCGTTATATTGCCATTAATTTGTAAAGCAAAATATGGGTTGTACATAGTGTTTCCCTGACAACTCCACATGGGGGTTGGTGTCATGTTTCGACACGTCAAGACACTGCTGTGAAGAAAAGTAACAAAACTGCTCTTTGTAGAGCTTGAACTTGGGACACTTTACTTAGAAACCGTGCACTCTTATGACTGCACCGAGCGTTCATATAGGAAATATATATACATAATCTAATGCATATTTTATTTGAAATAATTAAATTGCACAGATATTGAACATGTCTTACCATTTTGCTTTCATAGGCCAAAGTAGGCACCTTAGACACATGGTTAGCTATCGATGCTCGTATTGGTGTCCATTTAACATTGGTTGCACTTGGAGTTTGGATATTTGCAAATGGAATTTGCTATTTTAGCACAATTCATTGAAACTAAAAGGAAACAAACACACATTGCATGTGGTATTAACCATTCAATATATAGTATTCTATATGTTATTTTGGAAATTGCATTGAGAGCTAAGCCTTTAAATTTCTGAATTTCTTGGTTTTTGTGGTGGGTAAGGGCTAGAGCCATGATGATCATCCATGGAAAGCAATTTTAGGATTGAGTAGCTCTGGCTTATTGATAATGTTTTGATGATGTGGTGGCTTTGTACATTAGGCTTTGTCAGTTGGTGTAGTTCAATATCCCACTCAAAGGAAGTGATAGTGTGTAATAATATTAAGTCTATGGTGCAGAGTCAGTGCTTTAGACAGAGAGATTGAGTAGTAGTGGTAGGGCTGTAGGTTTTTGAGTGGGTTGGGAGGATAATTGTTTACTTTGGGAAGGGATGCAAGAAGATGAGGTATTTGATGAATTTTGTAGAACAAACAGTACAGCGTTTCAGATTTCTCATTCAATAGTTGATTTTTGGTGGTTGTTTTTGGCATTTCTTCTTAGTAAGAGATGTTACATTGCCCAAATGATCACCTGGTAGAGTTGCCGAGAAGGTTAGTGGAAGGCCTCTATTCATGGGATGGCAGGTGGTATTTCTTGGGTCCCTAGAGTTGCTTGATTAGATTTTGCTGTTCAATTGTAAGTTCTTTGAAGAAGAGGCTTCCTTTTTCATCATCATTTATTGAAGAAGGAAACGCTGAAAAGTCTGTAATTGTTCGAAGAGATTTTTGTTTTGAGATCTTTGGTGACAGGAGGTTATTTCACACATCAAGGTCATGTGGCTTGGTATTTGAAGTTTCTAGAGAGTAGAAACTCTAGTTTTAAAATTTATGCATGATGCATGAATGGAAGGAGATATGTTTTATTAGAACAATGAATATTTTTGTCTCTTCTGTTCATTGGTTTATAAGCGTGGACGTGTGCATATGCTGCGAAGAGTGCTTTCATAAAGTCTTTTTGTCTTTTGTACAAGTCCTTGCCCCTCTTCTTGGCCTTACATGTGTATTAATAATTAAGCCTCGGTTTCTTGCCTCATTCTTGCTCCAGGTCCCTTATGTTAAACCCTTGGACTGTCCTTTCCAGTTAATGGCTGATAAATGTCGTCCATCTTGATATCTAACCATTACTCTTCTTGTCCTTGCTCTAACAAAAAATCTGGCAAGGCCCGTTCTTCCAAATAAAATATTCCTGCTTTGCAAAGGGTTGTCATCTAGAAGGTAGTCAACATTATAGGGAACTTTGGCAGCACCCATGTCCTCCACAAATACCAGGAATAACTTCTGCTTCTTGCATAACTCCTAATATTCTTCAATTTCTCTACTTTTCTGCACTTCTCATAGAAAATATGGAAATTAGATGCCTCTATTGGGAAGATAGTTGTTGAATTTATTTTTGATGTTTAGCCATTCAAAATATGCCACCATGGAGATGTTAGGACAACTATTTATCAGTGACAAGCCAAGTTGGATTAAATGTATTTATAAGAGTGAGATATATTCTCTTGCACTAATTATGTAGTATTCTAATAATTATGCAAAACGTTATGTGGTTTTGTGATGGATTGGCTGTTGTGAACTACTGTTGCGATGTGAGTTTTTCTTTACTTTATCATATTTAAATGGTAGATTAGATTATAGGGGTATATAACTTGGGCATGGAGTGTAGAATAGTAGTCCTTTTTTTTTGTTTTTTTTTTTTTGGCGCTTTCATGTGGTATTTGTTCTTTTAACATTTATTTATGTTTGTCTCTCTTGGTCATAAAATTCCTTGGGGACTTGTCTTTTATATCAGTATATGTTAGCTTTCTTAGTTGATTTACTTGAGAAAATGTTAGCCATGATTATTTATTTCTACTTTACCTTTGTTGGAGGAACATTGACACTAAAATGTGCTATCTCCCATTTTCTGTTGGACCAGTTCTTGTGTTACTAAGGGTTACATGAAGGACAATTACATCCGGCTTTTTGTGAGAAAACCTCTAAGAAGATCCCCAATAATAAATCGTGGTATGGACATTTGGCATTCGGAATGTCGCTTGCCAACTTTCTTAAGTTTGAAAATCTTTTGTTGGATACTATTATACCATGGTCTGTGGAATGCCATGTACTGATAAAATGAAGTATGGAACATCATATTCCTTTGGGTCATCACCGCCATTGAAATGAGTGATGGTGGAGAGTGGGACCCACCATTGGCGTCATGTCTGGCAATGACGCAATGGACTATGATTTCTTTTCCATAATCAATTAGAATGTAAGTTATGATTGATGAAACTGGTTTTAAGGTTACTATGCACGTTGGGCTGCTCTCCGGAAATTTCTCTTTCAATTTCTCAAGTCTAGAGGACAAGATGATGATGAATGTGGCATGAAGAAGCAAGTAGTTTCTCTTGGAGCTGGTTTTGATACGACCTTCTTCCAGTTGCAGGTGTGTGATGCTTTAAGTTTGCATGAGCTTGACTAGGATTTTTTTATTGTTAAACTTCTGTCACTCTTTAATTACTCTTCCTTTTACTGGGTGGAGCAATTGGAGAATTATGGGGACTATGATCTTTTGATTTGCATTTTAATTAGCTCAACGCTATTGATCCAAAACGTAAAAAAAAAAGAAGAAAGAAAAAATAGTTAGCTCAAGACTAATGAGTTTGAATGGAGCAAGTTCTTTTGAAAAGTATTCAACTTTTGATTTCTGAATGAGCGCCTCATGTGATACATGAACTAATTGGTGTTCTGTTGGAGTAAGCTATCATGTACATTCACTCTAGGGAGATACACACACACACATAAATACAGCAAACACTCACACGATGATCTATATTCTATATTTAATACGAGAAATTTGCTGATATTCAACTAAATATCTCTGTTCCTTAGGACGAGGGCAACGCACCTGACTTGTATGTTGAATTGGACTTTAAGGAGGTATGTTGGGTGATACAGTCATGTTTTTTATTTGTGTTTTTTTCACTGTAATTCTGTAATAAATAAAGCACCAAAATGTTCATGAGGGAAATTGTACTATGATCCATTTATGGAAATCCATTGCCTATTGGGGTCATCACTGTCCAATGAAACAATAGGGGTTGATGGAATGGTGGTGGGACCTACTAGAACAGGACATAACCCCCGTTTTGTCCCACATAATCCCAATTAAGGTGTCTCTCCCGTCTTCACCTTCAATCATTTGATAACCCTAATGATCTAAATCTTTCCTGGTCTATTCAATAATAATCTACTTTCTCTATGCAGTGGGGGACATACTTCTGTCTAGATGTATCAGTTGAAGTCCCTTTTGACCTTTCGATTTTCTCCTTTCTAAACAACTGCACTATTTGCCTATTGTCTTTATGTGCTCTGCATGGTCTTTTTTCCTTGAAGGTGACCAGTAAGAAAGCAGCACTCATAGAGTCCCACCAGCAGCTGAGGGATAAAGTTGGACCAACAGCTGTAATTTCACAAGGTGTTTATGTTTCTATAGTGATTTATTGCAATGTTCTTTGCTCTGCTGGATGTTTTTGTGATAGAGTAGCAGCTGAAAGAGGTAGTCCCTATATATCATCATGTAAAAGAGGTGGAAAACTAGGGTGAACTCAAAGGGAATATATGAATCGGTTAGATGAGCACCACTACAATTCCTGGGCAATGACCAGGAATGAGTTGTGGGGGCACTTTCATAGGAACCTATGCAATCATTGGAATACAATACGGGTGGCAATTGGGTTGGGTCGACCTGAACTGGGTCCAGGTGTGGTCCATGTTTTGGAACCGACCCTGGTATAAATATATGAAATAATATATATATATATATTTGAATTTCTAGACGCGGGTCTAGGTCATGTCTGGGTATGGGTGAAACCTAGTCGGGTCGACCCAGACCCAACCTCACCCGTTGTCACCTCTGGAATGCAGTTGCATGAAGCAATTGCATGGAGCAGTGTCCCAAATAGTAGTAGTAGATTGAACACTTCGTATCCTTGTGCTCCAGGAACTATAAAACTAAATGTTGACAGTTGCTCCTGAGGCAACCTTGTACCATTGAGTATAGAGGGTGCTTTTTGGAACTTGGATGAAACAATGTGGTTGTGTTGTGTTGTTCTTTTTGGGGCATAGAGGTGCTGCTGATGCATTAGAAGGAAAAACTCTGGTTCTCTTGACATATATAAGACTACTCAACCACAATTCGGACAATGTTTCCACGAGCGCCATTTCATGTGCTAAAAAAGGGCAGATCATCCTTGGCAATTCGATATGATCTTCTAAGAATCTGGGTGAAAGTTTCGAGCATCAAATCTGACTTCCAACACATCTATAGAGAATCAAAATTTTGGCAGATACCCTGACACTTAAGGAGTTACTTAATTAGCCATTTTTAGTTGGTTTTTTTGTTAATATTTCCTCATTTATATTCTTTTTGTAGACTTCTGAAAGTCCTTACGGGATTGCACATTTTTTAATCAAAGGGTTTGGCAGATAGCCTGGAACATGAAGGAGTTACATAATTAGCTATTTTTGTTGTTCAATTTTGTTAATATTTCCTCATTGACATTCCTTTTGTAGACTTTGGAAAATCCCTATATATATATGTATATTGTAGACTTTGGAAAATCCCTATATATATATATATATATATATATATATATATATATATATATATATATAGTGTGTGTGTGTGTTAGTTTATTTTATTTTAATTATATATACGTAGTAGTGTGTCGATCTATACTAATAAAGTTAAAACGTAAAACGTA